ACGAATCTTCCTCACTTCACCCAGGTGGTCAGGAGATCAGAGCATTAAACGAATCTTCCTCACTTCACCCAGGTGGTCAGGAGATCAGAGCATTACACGAATCTTCCTCACTTCACCCAGGTGGTCAGGAGATCAGAGCATTAAACGAATCTTCCTCACTTCACCCAGGTGGGATTATGGGTACCCGGACATAGACAGCGGAAGATCTTGTCAGTATGTTAGTGTTTTGGCGCCTATAAATGGCCGCTTGTACTGTATGCTTCCCAGGAAGTTGAGGTTCTTTCAGAATGCTCTCAGTTCTGGGGTAATAGTATAGATTGTGAAGCGCATAGATCTTGCTGTTGAGCGGGGATTTGTGCTATAGAAATGCTATTTATAATTGTTATTATTATGTTCCACGTAAAAGTAAAGTGTAGCCTCCAATTTTGAACTGCTTGACCTAGTGTGTAGCATTCGGTGCCACTATAGGAGTCGCAGTGGGCTCGTAGTCGTAGCAGGGGTCACCACAAACGATCTCTTTTCTTTTTTCAAAATAGGGCGGGGAAACTGAGAAAATTCTGAGTAAGAGGTAGATAATAATAATTATCTATTTTGTTCGATACCATACCATGATGTGGTAATTGAACGATTTGTCACATGATTGGAGGCAGGTAAAAGCGTGATGTAATATAAACTAGAAACCTTCCACTCTGTAATTTTTCCAAAGTTGGGAGCAGCTTTAGGAGGGAGAGGGAAAGGGAAAGAGGAATGATTTGTGGGAGAGAGATCTGAAAAGTGTAAGGGAATTTGAAAAAAAAAAAAAGAATTTATGAGGGGGAGATAGGGAAGGGATGGGGGTGTCGATAAAGAAGGGGACATTGTTAAGTTAAGAGGTTGCCATTTTGATCTCAAGCACTGATGAATCGTATCCTGTTCCCACCACATAGAGTCAGCCATTTGACGTAATGCTGTCCCCGTTATTTTATGCCTCCCGCATAATTTAGCAAAATTTGATCCTTTTTCGCAAAAATTCTGATTATTTTCCTTTATCATTCTTTGTTAAAAATGAACAGAATCGCATCATTTCACATTTTTGGGCTCAGTTTGCCTAATTTCAGAATTTTTCTTGCATAAAACGACCGGGACAGATATGGTCAGCAAGGACACTCAGTGTAGTACAGCTCTATTTCAAAACAGTTGGAAAACTATTCCTTTTAAAAAAGTTTTAGACGAGTTTTACGGCACTTGCAACACAATATGGTCATCAAGTGCTGAAGGTATCTCAAGAGAAACAAACTCAAAAAAAAAAAAAGGCCGTGAGATAAGGACGATAGTTTGGTGGGTTTTTTTAGTAGAGATTTTACTTCGCTCTCAACTGCATAAGGTCATAATTATGAGAGCTAAAGATGATAGGTGTTTGATAGAAAAGAAGGAGCAAAACACACCAGAGCACCCGCCAACCACCAGCAAATTAAAACTGTTCTTTCTGCGAGTTGTGGACGACTAATATAAGACAAGAAGCCTATAACTCACTTACACAACACAATGACAATAGATCCAATTGTTCAGTCGTAATTGTCATCATAATTATTTTCGAAGTCCACAACTCGGCCAGAAAATTGTTGGTCAGCTGTCTGTCTGTTTGTTTGTTTGGTGGGGGGGGGGGGGGGGGGGGGGTTGGGTTTTTTTGGGGTATTTTTGTATGTTTGTTTGTTTGTTTGACAAGGAGAAGCACATCGACAAAATAATAGTCATTTAGTGATACCGTAGGAAAAAGTAAGACAGTGAGACAGAAACAACAGAGGGTGGAAAGCAACGAAGTAGGACCTACTAGTGGCGCCCTCTAACCACCCGCTAAGCCAACTGTTTTGCTACAGAGCGGTACTACTACTAGGCTAATAATGGCGTCATGATCCGAAATTAAAATAATAATAACATTGTGGCGTCACAGCAGATGATCCCGTGACCTTGCTGGCCTCGGGTGTCAAGGTCAAAGGTCACACCGGTTGGCGTCCCGCCTGTCCATGAGAACGGTGAGCGAGACGTGGTCACGTGATGCCAGCAGACGACCCACTTGCCTGTGGTCCTGTCGCAACACCTCTTGACCTTCCACGTGAGTCAGGAACTGGCGGACCTGTTGGTTGAGCGAAAGACTGATTGTTTTAGTGAGTGTTTTACAGCACTTGCAACACAATAAGGCCTTATAAGTGCCGAGGGTTAGAGGTGTAACAAGCGAGTAACAAACACACACAAAAAAGGAGAGATAAGGAGGATAAATGTTTCATAGGAAAGAAGGAGCAAACTACATCAGAGCACCCTCCAATCACCCACAATGACAGATTGTACAAAACACGGAGGGAGGGGAAATGTTGTTACAACACCCCCTGTTACACTTTGTTATCTTCATTTTTTTCTTCTTCACATTATCTCATTAATAAAACGTCTGTTTATTTTCCACATCATGTCGTACTGTTAATATTAATGTTTCGAGACTGAACGTACTGGATTAAGAAGACTGTCTGTCTTTGCCACTCCTTCAGTCTCCTTCCACTTGTGCTACACACACAAACACACACGCTCTCTTTCTTTTTCTCTTTCTCTCTCTCACAGCCACACACACGCAAACTTGCAAAAAAAAAAACCAACCTCACACACACTCTCTCTTTCTCTCTCTCTCTCTCTCTCTCTCTCTCTCTCTCTCTCTCACACACACACACACACACACACACACACACACACACACAGAGTGACCTTTGACGCACCCTTCAGTAACCCATCCTTATCCTCCCGTGACCCCTGACCCACCCTCCCGGTGACCCCTGACCCACCCTCCCAGTGACCCCTGAC